TCTTGAATCTTGAACCTTGATCAAGATCATAAAAAGTTACTACTACTTTAATGAGGGTTTTGAGAAGATTTGGCAAAAAAAACTTACTGCGCCATTGCGGAATTCGCCAGGGATATCGAGTTGCGTCCATAATGCTTTCGCGAGAAGGAAACCGACAAATAAGACACCGAGATACAGAGGGTTTCTGTTATATTAAGGAAGGAACGAGATTTTTAGAATGTGCATATATCATTCACTGATATGGAGCAATACTAAAGCTTTGATTGACCTTAGAAGAGTCATGAATTCGTTGAATCCAAGAACGATCAATGCAAGAATTGCCCACGGAGGAGGTAACCAGTTACTACCACGCCTATTCGCCTCCTGAACTAGTTTAAACACTTCAAAAATGATCAAATATTCATAAGCAGAGTGAAGAGCTAAGTTATGAGTAAAGTAAATCATGCCTGTGCAGATATGGCTTGAGTCACTGTGTACTCTGTTTCTGTCTTGAACTGTCTCCATATAGATTTACATTGAACCGGTGTGATCAACGTTCTTGATGATGGAACCTACAAAAGTAATATCTGTTTAGATCAAGAATTAATCGAAGTTAAAACACATTGGAACATAATCATGCATACCTCATCCCAAGTGCTTGAAGCGAGTGGATCAGATGTTGTGATGCTTTTTGTCGAAGTTTCATTCTTTGTTGCATCCAACAAAGCAACAGTTAGTGTCTTCTCGATCTTATCGGTTTCATCGCACAATCGGAGTACAGCCATTACCGAGAGCAACTTCAACGACTGAACAAGAAACCATAAAGAGGTGTTCAGACTTTCTCAAGCCTTACAAGCAAAACGTAAAATAGGAATAGCAAATCATACAGCAGATCGAGCTAATTTAGTAATTGCTCGAAGATCTTCCTTTCCGGTCCAAACGCGTGGCATTGAATCAGAATCATGGCTGAAGATTGTACCAAACCTGAAAAACAAAAACAAAAACGTTCAAAATTTTGTTGTTCTTTTAAAGTGGTTTTGAAAGAACAGTGAGCACAGAAGAAGGTTTTGCTATATATACCGTTCCTTCATCCGCATCAAAACCCTTCCAGCTTCTTCTTTTGCCTTTGATTCAATGACACTTCTTGAATAATCCTGAAGGCTCTTCACCATTTTATCTCTTGTTTCTTCTTCCATGTCAAAACCAGCTAATGCACTACTGAGTCCAGAAACAGCAGATTCAGTTTCACGTCGATGAAGCTTCTTTACTGCTGTCCACGTTTCATCATTTGCTCCTTCCAACAGAGCTTCAACCGGTTCAGACAATGCTTCATGAAGTTTTAACTGCAA